AGCAAACTGAAGCTGTGAACAATCTCAATCTCTTCGCCATCCATCCTGATGATACCTATTGGTCCAGTGGTGAGAATCTTTGTCTTCTTGACGTTGAGCCTCAGTCCATACTGAAGGCTGCATTCCTTGACCCTTCGCAGCAAGTGCATGAGGTCCTCCTCAGTTTTGGTAAGCAGGGTTGTGTCATCTGCATAACGCCTCATTCCTCATTTAGTATTGCATAATTCCTCATTTAGTATTGCCATTTATTATTTTGTTTGAAATTTATGTGGAAAATCTGACTTTACTAAGATACATAGTTAGGAAAGGGAGAGATATTTTAATAGTGTTTTCATATACTTTTGTATATTCTGTTTTGTTTTTTAAAATGTTTTAAATTGTGATTTTAATGAAAGTTTATAGAAAACTTGTATTTTCATTCATTCATTGCTGTACCTTTTCCTGCCTATTCCTCCTTCAGTTCACTTTAAAAAAGTAAATATTTGTTTATTGTTGCGTAATTTGCTCCCTTCCCTCACCCCATTTCACTTTGCTATACTCCTCTTATTCTGCACTCTTGTCATGCCTAATCACATTTTCCTTTTAAACAGTTCTTTTATTATCTGTTCCAATACAGAGTATTTATTCCCTCTTAGTTTCTCCCCAACCCCATATCAGTCCTGTTTTAAAACAGTGGTGTTATATAATATTTGTCCTTTTGTGACTGAGACAGTTCACTTAGCATAATGTCCTCCAGGATCACCCATGTTGTGTAATATTTTATGTACTCCTTATTTTTCAGTTCTGCATAACATTCCATTGTGTGACTATACCAAAGTTTTTCTATTCATTCATTTGTATATTCTGTTTTAATATTATAGTTAAACTCAACAAGTGATTTTTTTTTAGGCTGTTTTGGTTATACTTAACCACAGATAGAAGAATTTTTTTTCCCTTGGGATTTTAGTTTAGTGTTTTATTTTAAGGGAAGGTTTTTATTTGTTTGTTTGTTTGCTTTGTTTTGTTTTTGAGGGAGTGAAAGAGGATTAGAACAAAATTTGGTCACTCTTTTGAGATTATGGTTTATTTAAACAAAGTATAATGAGAAATATGAATCAATTAGATAATCCTTACATCATCAAATCTTTAATAGTAACAATCATAGTAGCTCCTAAGCAAAGGCCAACTTCTTACATGTCAACTTTTTACAGAAATTTGGTCACCTTTTTAGTGATTAATACACTCTTCATATTTGCTACTTTTTTGAGGTAGGACTTGCAAATGGAAGCTAAAGATTCCTAACGTAATACCTTGATAAGTATTTATTGAGTTATTAGAATGCTTTTATTCATCTTCAAATCCTGTTTATGTTTATTACCTCATTTGATTGTGTGAACAAACTGCCTTTCAGAAACATGTTTAAACCAGCATAGAAATAGAATTTAACATACAAGTCAACAAACATGTCCAGTAAACGAGGAGGTCACTTTGCCGATTTATTCAGAAAGTCTTAGCATCATTAATCTGCAATTTTATGTTTCTCTCTTTAAGATTCATACAGGTTTACAGCACCAGATAATCTGGCCCTGCCAGCCCAGCTGTATTCCTCTGGATGAAAAACTCCTGCCCCAGCTTCTGAGGGAAGTGGGCTACACTACCCACATGGTCGGGAAATGGCACCTGGGAATGTACCGGAAAGAATGCCTTCCAACCCGCCGAGGATTTGATACCTACTTTGGTAATGGAAATGCACGCTTGTTTAACAACTTAGAATAACTGTAGCCATCTCATAAAACACACCCATTGTAATCAAATGAAATAACTGGAAACTTGAACACACAATGAGTCAGTTAGCATCCCAATGGGCCTGCTTTATAAAACTACCTTTATAAGCATGGTGTGTCTGAGCCCAGACTTTGCCAGGTTGCTAAATACCATATGGGGCCTTAGGGAAAGTTTATTATCTGCACACTAGAGACCAGATACTCTCAGAGAACCATACTACCAAAAGTGGGTGCAAGTTGATTTTTTTAAATTCTCTATGAAACCTTACATGAGAGTGTCCCCTCATCACCTGGCAAAGGTTTTTTACATTTCCCCACCCCCCCTTATGCAATTCAGAGAGCTCTGGTAGCTTTAGTGGTAAGGAACGGAGCTGCCAGCCAAAAGCAAGCAGTTGAAATTCACCAGCTGCTCCATGGGAAAAAGACAGGCAATCTCCTGTGTGATTTACAGCCTCTTATAACCAGCTAGAGGGTTAGCTATGAGTTGGTTCCTATTTTCAACTCGACAGTACATAAAAACAACAACAACAACATGTGTTCAAATGTTCTGTTTGTTTCTTTACTATTGGCATCTTTCTTCCCTATAATGTGAGATCTATTTTTTTAAATCAGTAGACCAGAGAAGATAGATTAAAAAAAATAAAATTAGATGAGTGATTGGCAAATGACAAAGAAGGTTAATAAATATTTAATGGCCTTGATTGTTGTTGTTAGGTGCCATTGAGTCAAGTACGACCCATAATGACCCTATGAAGAGCAGATTTGAACCCTGTCCTATCCTGCACCATCGTCATACCTCCTGACACACAAGAGCCATGGCAGCAGTCACTGTGTCAATCCACCTGGTTGAGGGTCTTCCTCTCCTTCGCTGACCCTCCACCCTTCCCAGCATCATGTCCCTCTCCAAGGAATAGCCTATCCTAGCAACATGTCAAAAGTATGTGAAGTGAAGCCTTTTTATTCTGGCTTCCAATGAGCATTCCAGCTCCCTTGATAGGCCTTTAAAACAAACGTGAAGTATAAAGTTTGTTTTAAAATTTTCCCTCTTTAAATCGGTTAGGAATCGTCTTAATTAGCAACATTTTTTTTACCAGGAGCTGTATCTCCTTCTGTCATGTTCTTTTTGTATTGACTTATCTTCCTGTCTAGCTACTTAGTGACCTACATAGCTCCCATCTGTCTCTTCATTTACTTAAAACTTTCACTTACTTAATTAGAATTAAAAAAGACTGTACACTGAACAGAAGACATTTAAAAATAAATAGAATGAAAAATCATGGTGAATAGAAAAAGATAGGATAGTTAGTGGGCAAGGTGTGCTTCCAACCCAGAGCACAGGCTGCTCTGTAGAAATGAGATGGGCAATCTCCCCGTGTGACTCAAAGCCTCTGAAAACCTGTTAGAAGGGTCAGTTATTTATGACTTGGTTCTGACTCAATAGCAATGAAAAAGATATATTACAAAAAGGAAAATAAAAAGAACTAGATCTAGGCAACCCGCACTTTAACTCCATTTTTTAAATTATACTAGTTTATTTACAAAATTCAAATACATTTTTTCCAGAGCAGATTTTTCCAATTTCCCTCTTCCCCCCACCTATCAAATTGTACAATCCTATGATCATTCCCCCTTCTCACCCCTGCACATCCTCATCCCTCTTCTTCCAACTTCCACCCCACCCCACCACCGCCTTGGATCCTCATACTCATTTTACAATAATGGTCTTATACAATATTTGTCCTTGTGGGACTGAGTTAGTTTTCTCAGTCAGCATAATGCTCTCCAGTCCCTTCCAATTAGGTAATAATTTACAAAATCATTGCTCCTGTGTGCTGCATAGTATTCCATTGTGTGAATGTACCATAATTTCTCCACCCATTCATTTGTGGGCTGTTTCCATGTTCTTGCAATGGTGAATATGCTGCTATGAGCATTGGTATACAAGTCTGTTTGTGTTTCAGTTCTCATTTTCTTGGGGTATATATTCCCAGCAGTGGAATAGCTGGGTTATAGGAATTTTTATGTTTAGATTTTTGGGGAAGTGCCAAACTACTTTCCAGAGTGGATATACCATTTTACAATCCCACCAACAATGTATAAGAGTTCATATCTGGACACATATTCTCTGACAATTATTGCTTGCTGTCCTGTTAAGCTTTGCCACTGTTACTGGTAACACCATTATTTCTTATGTCCAAAACAGAAAGGGGAAAGGCTTGAAGAGTCACATTATGTGTAAGATAAATGAAAGCCAGATGCTCAGGAAGAGTAAGGCATTTTCTTGGCTTTCAGGCCGAGATATTTTTCCTTTGGGTCTTCATAAAGGTAAAGTGGACAGTATTCTCACAAACACCATTTTAGGTATAAAATACCTGTTTCCTTTTAGTTGTTTCCTGAAGTGTTCATCCATCTGAATTAGAGCCAGAGACCCAAAGTTTGATTCAGAAAGTGACTATGGTGTGGGGCAGGGAGGGCGGCGCAAGTCAGTGCAGTGAAAGGATGCAGGGGTGACATGCTTTGTTGAATTTAGAGTTAAGATCAAGATATAAAGACATCAGATGAGACAGCATGTCTGCCCACTCCCATCCAGGTTCTCTGGGACTCATCAGTAATCAATTCTTTCTTGATAAATGTGAATATATCCCCACTATCTTCAGATGCCTTCAGAATTAGACTTGGATGTTACATCTCTTTGTCATCTTGGAAATTCTAAAGGAATAACCTGTTTGTACATAATTTAAAATCGTCCAGTTACATCTTTGAAAAAAGACAGGTTGATATATATACTCTCACAAGAGAATAGATTATAGTAGGTAATTTGAATTTTTTTATTAAAAAAATATATATGAATTCAGTTGGTTTGCTGCTGTTGTTAGGCGCTATCAAGTCAACTGTCACTCATAGCAGCCCCATGAACAACAGATCACAATCTCGCTCTACCCTGCACCTTCCTCATGATCTCAGCCATACTCAAGCCCATCGTGGTCATCTCTGTGTCAGTCCATCTTCTTGAGGGGCTTCCTTTCTTTCATTGACCCTTTAACTTTCTCAGCATATCATCTCTCTCCTAGGACTGATTCCTCCTAAAAATATGCCCAAAGCAGATGAGATGAAGTTTCATTATCCTGGCCTCTAAGTGCACTCTGGTTGCACTTCCTTCAAGACAGACTTTTTTGTTCTTTTGGCAGTCCAAGGGATATTTAATTCTTATCATGAACACCACAATTCAAAGGCATCGATTCTTCTTCCGTAATCCTTTTTTATTTACCAACTTTAGCATGCATTGGGGCAATTGGAAACACCAGGATTTGGATCAGGAACATTCTAGTCTTTAAACTGATATTCTTCTTTAGCATTTGGGAGAGGTCCTTGACTGCAGATTTCACCAATGCAATATATCTTTTGATTTCTTGGCTGCTACTATTATGAATTTTACTTGTGAAGCTAAGTAAAATTAAATAATTCACATCTTCAGTATTTTCTCCATCTATTATGAGCTTGGGACTTAGGCCATCACATCAGGGGCTGGGCAGTGGAAGACGGGTATTGAATACTGTAGGCAAAAGTAGGAAGGGATATTGGTGGAGTAAGGAAGTGTGGGTGGGCAGCAACATTGAATCTATTGGTCATTGCTGTAACTGGGCAATTATCTTTCATCTGCTCTTTTCTGTGAAATCCTTGTCTGCCAGATACTGTTAAATATATTTAAAGATTGAGAAAGACTAGGAAGAAGGATTGGCCATCCACTTCCGAAAAGACAGGCCTTCAAAAACCCTATGTACAATAGAGCACACTTAAACTATTGTTTGGACTAGCAGACATGGTAATTGAGACTGAGATCTTAGAAATGGAAATACAGAGAATGAACAGCTGTAAACAGACACGTGGAATGTGAGAAGCATGAATGTAGGAAAATTGG